GTGAGTTCGTGTTTGTCTTTTTCTACTTTGAAATACCAGACTTTGCAGAAAAGTTATCCGATTCTGTAAACTGAACGCTAAATATTAGGAGCCAACAATTACTTAGAACTTCCATCCATCCATCATCTGACACGCTTGTCCCAATTGGGGTCGCGAGGGGTGCTGGTGCCTATCTCCAGCTGTCTACTTAGAACTTAAGAAGCCAATTTACTAAGTAGGCCTGCTTTTACTCACTTAATTATGTACATAATTTCCTGCATTTCTTTATATTTTTACTTCAGTAAAGACAAATGTTACAGTAGTGCTAGCCTCACACAACTATTTAGTTTTTGTTTTTTATGAAGTCAAACAGCTCTACTACTCGCACACTTGGGACAGGTTTCTTCTGTTAACACAATTTGTTTAAAAGTTAATTCGATAGTAATGAAATTGAGTTATAAGTAAAAGTTGATTTTTCTATTTTTTACAGTGTTAATGTGCAGGCAGTTGTGTCCACAGCCAGGAACTATTGCTGTTTAAGGGCCTGCAGTGTAGAAGATCTAGGGGCCCCTGGTTCAGAGGGTACTATGAAGTTGGATGTGAAGAGAACTATAGAAATGTCATAGCTAAAGTGATGGTTTAAAACTAGAGACCAATAACAGAAAACATTAAAATGGATCCAAGACTAACGTTGGCTAGAGTAAGCCATAAAGACTTAAAAAATAAAATAAAAAATACAAACAACAAAGACAGTTTTATAGACGGTACACTGTAAAGCACGGCGGCACAGGCATCATGCTCCTGGATTATTCTGGCTGAGTTATGTTTAATAAAAGACTACGCTAAAACTGTATATAGATTAAATAGCTCCATACAGAGTGTTTTAAAAAAATACTGCTTGAATCTAATGAAAACATTCATACCAATAAAAATATCTTAAAGCAGAGATAAAAATGTACTTAATGAATTGTTTAATGCTTTTAAAGTCAGGCTCTGCCTGGACCTTGATGCTCTCTCCAGTTCTCTTTCCTGAAAAGAGATCACTCGAGACAAACTCTTTAAATAACACTTCATAACTTATATGCATTTAATAACCAGGAGACATGACAACAGATTTTTAGATAATTTGTAATCTTTCTCAGATCAGAGAAATTGCTTAGAGTTTACAGAAGGCAGCTGCTCACCTCTCAGGAAGTCGCCCCGATTAACAGTTAAAAGGACATTTTATACATCTCCAGTCTGCCACATTATTACATCCTACACGTTAGTAGATGATTAGACATCCATGGCTCCAGCCTCATCAAAATATTACACTTTGTTCTTAGCTGAAGAACACCACTCACATTCTATTTCCAAATCTTTTCCACATACAGAATGAAGATTATAACTGTATATCTGGACAGACGAACTGGCTTAATTAGATAAACTATTGTGGAAAACATCAGTTCTGACACGCAACAGGCAGCTAATAAACACACACCATCAATGATAAATGTCCTAACAATTCTTAGAATTATGATTGTTTTTAATGTGACAAAGGAGTCATATTTAAAGTATTTTAATTTACTGAACTTTAGAACATTTGAGGAGGTAATGTTGCTTGAGGCTGGAGTGAAAATCAATGTTTTCATGACCCAGTGATGCATGACCAAAGTAAAACCAAGAAATACAGAAGAATTTGGGAATGTAAGTTAACCTGTTCACACAAGTTGACCAATACTCATAAACAAAACAGCCCTTTTAACTAAATATTGCCTTAAGGCTTCATGTTAAATTCAAATCGTCCAGCCTCTTAGTTCACACAGGGGATTATGGGGAGACCTTCATGTTTCCTGAACAGCTGGAAACTCATGTCCTCTCCTCCCCTATAGGGAAAACACTTTAAACCTATTTTGTTTTCACTGGTTTTTGATTTTCCTTGATGAGTTTTTTTTATGGTAGAAGCTCTGAGTTTTGATTTTTTATGGTAGAAGCTCAACATTTTTTTTGTTTTGTTTTTATGGTAGAAGCTCTGAGTTTTTTTTTTTATGTTGGAAGCTCTAAGTTTTAGTTTTTTTATGTTAGAAGCTCTAAATTTTGTTTTTTTCTTCATGGAAGAAGCTCTAAGCTTTGTTTTTTTAATGTTAGAAGCTCTAAGTTTAGTTTTTTTATGTTAGAAGCTCTACATTTTGTTTTTTTTTTCATGGAAGAAGCTCTAAGCTTTGTTTTTTTTCATGGTAGGAGCTCTAAGTTTTGTTTTTTTAATGTTAGAAGCTCTAAGTTTTTTTATGGTAGAAGCTCTAAGTTTTTTTTTTTTATGGTAGAAGCTCTAAGTGTAGTTTTTTATGTTAGAAGCTCTAAGTTTTTTTTTTTATGGTAGAAGCTCTAAGTTTTGTTTTTTTAATGTTAGAAGCTCTAAGCTTTGTTTTTGTCATGGTAAAGGCTCTAAGTTTTGTTTTTCTAATGTTAGAAGCTCTAAGTTTAGTTTTTTTTCATGGTAGAAGCTCTAAGTTTAGTTTTTTTAATGTTAGAAGCTCTAAGTTTTGTTTTTTTTTCATGGTAGAAGCTCTAAGTTTAGTTTTTTTATGGTAGAAGCTCTTAAGTTTTGTTTTTTTTATGTTAGAAGCTCTAAGTTTTGTTTTTTTTTCATGGTAGAAGCTCTAAGTTTTGTTTTTTTTATGGTAGAAGCTCTTAAGTTTTGTTTTTTTTATGTTAGAAGCTCTAAGTTGTTTTTTTCATGGTAGAAGCTCTAAGTTTTGTTTGTTTTTCATGGTAGAAGCTCTAAGTTTTGTTTTGTTTTCCATGGTAGAAGCTCTAAGTTTTGTTTTTTTTTCATGGTAGAAGCTCTAAGTTTTGTTTTTTTTTCATGGTAGAAGCTCTAAGTTTTGTTTGTTTTTCATGGTAGAAGCTCTAAGTTTTGTTTTTTTTTTCATGGTAGAAGCTCTACATTTTGTTTTTTTTTTTCATGGAAGAAGCTCTAAGCTTTGTTTTTTTTCATGGTAGGAGCTCTAAGTTTTGTTTTTTAATGTTAGAAGCTCTAAGTTTTTTTTTTTATGGTAGAAGCTCTAAGTTTTTTTTTTTATGGTAGAAGCTCTAAGTGTAGTTTTTTATGTTAGAAGCTCTAAGTTTTTTTTTTTTATGGTAGAAGCTCTAAGTTTTGTTTTTTTAATGTTAGAAGCTCTAAGCTTTGTTTTTGTCATGGTAGAAGCTCTAAGTTTTGTTTTTCTAATGTTAGAAGCTCTAAGTTTAGTTTTTTTTTTTCATGGTAGAAGCTCTAAGTTTAGTTTTTTTAATGTTAGAAGCTCTAAGTTTTGTTTTTTTTTTCATGGTAGAAGCTCTAAGTTTAGTTTTTTTATGGTAGAAGCTCTAAGTTTTTTTTTTTCATGGTAGAAGCTCTAAGTTTTGTTTTTTTTATGGTAGAAGCTCTTAAGTTTTGTTTTTTTTTTTATGTTAGAAGCTCTAAGTTGTTTTTTTCATGGTAGAAGCTCTAAGTTTTGTTTGTTTTTCATGGTAGAAGCTCTAAGTTTTGTTTTTTTTTTCATGGTAGAAGCTCTAAGTTTTGTTTTTTTTTCATGGTAGAAGCTCTAAGTTTTGTTTTGTTTTCATGGTAGAAGCTCTAAGTTTTGTTTTTTTTTTTCATGGTAGAAGCTCTTAAGTTTTGTTTTTTTAATGTTAGAAGCTCTAAGTTTAGTTTTTTTTATGTTAGAAGCTCTACATTTTGTTTTTTTTTCATGGAAGAAGCTTTAAGCTTTGTTTTTTTCATTGTAGGAGCTCTAAGTTTTGTTTTTTTAATGTTAGAAGCTCTAAGTTTTTTTTATGGTAGAAGCTCTAAGTTTTTTTTTTTTATGGTAGAAGCTCTAAGTGTAGTTTTTTATGTTAGAAGCTCTAAGTTTTTTTTTTTATGGTAGAAGCTCTAAGTTTTGTTTTTTTAATGTTAGAAGCTCTAAGCTTTGTTTTTGTCATGGTAGAAGCTCTAAGTTTTGTTTTTCTAATGTTAGAAGCTCTAAGTTTAGTTTTTTTTTCATGGTAGAAGCTCTAAGTTTAGTTTTTTTAATGTTAGAAGCTCGAAGTTTTGTTTTTTTATGGTAGAAGCTCTAAGTTTTTTTTTTTCATGGTAGAAGCTCTAAGTTTTGTTTTTTTTATGGTAGAAGCTCTTAAGTTTTGTTTTTTTTTATGTTAGAAGCTCTAATTTGTTTTTTTCATGGTAGAAGCTCTAAGTTTTGTTTGTTTTTCATGGTAGAAGCTCTAAGTTTTGTTTTTTTTTTTCATGGTAGAAGCTCTAAGTTTTGTTTTTTTTTCATGGTAGAAGCTCTAAGTTTTGTTTTTTTTTCATGGTAGAAGCTCTAAGTTTTGTTTTTTTTTTCATGGTAGAAGCTCTTAAGTTTTGTTTTTTTAATGTTAGAAGCTCTAAGTTTTGTTTTTTTTTCATGGTAGAAGCTCTTAAGTTTTGTTTTTTTATGGCAGAAGCTCTGCTTTTTTATGGCAGAAGCTCTGAGTTTTGTTTTTTTATGGCAGAAGCTCTGCTTTTTTTTATGGCAGAAGCTCTGAGTTTTGTTTTTTTATGGCAGAAGCTCTGCTTTTTTTTATGGCAGAAGCTCTGAGTTTTGTTTTTTTATGGCAGAAGCTCTGCTTTTTTTCATGGTAGAAGCTCTAAGTTTTGTTTTTTTTTCATGGTAGAAGCTCTAAGTTTTGTTTTTTTTTTCATGGTAGAAGCTCTAAGTTTTGTTTTTTTTTTTTCATGGTAGAAGCTCTTAAGTTTTGTTTTTTTAATGTTAGAAGCTCTAAGTTTTGTTTTTTTTTCATGGTAGAAGCTCTTAAGTTTTGTTTTTTTTATGGCAGAAGCTCTGCTTTTTTTATGGCAGAAGCTCTGAGTTTTGTTTTTTTATGGCAGAAGCTCTGAGCTTTATTCACTCTTACAGAAAGACTCCTTTTGCTCCAACCCTCCGCATTGACTGATGGCTGACCATAAAGTTCAGCTCCTAACCGCCGTTCATCTAAGCGGACAGCAGCAATAATCCCTCCTCCTTTGCCCACTCATGCACCCACGCGGGTCCAGCGTATCATCCAACATCACCAACAGCTACCGTTACACTGGAGGGGCGCCTGTTCAGGTCGCGGTGGCGCGTCACGGGAGCGCGCGCACACACCGTGGGCTGCTCCTTTTTGCGCATACAGCTGTGGTTCGGCGTGAGACACGCGGGCTGGTTACCGAGTTGATTTATTCTCGGTGTAGTTTGGAGAGGAGGCATCGGGGGAGAAGCTTTCAGCGCAAACGGGAGGCTGAGGAGCGGACATGTCAGGATGCTGATCCCAGCAGAGTCAGCGGGAGCTGCAGCTTCTCATCAGCACCAGCCCGGTTCATCCTCCCTCTAACTTTTTTTTTTTAACCAGCCGAAGTTGTTAGTTTTGGGGTCCAGTTGTGCTCCGCTCCGCCATGGTGGCTTCCCCGGTCCACGGAGCGCTCCTCCTGTGCGCCCTCCTCCAGCTGTTCCCTCTACCCGGCGGACAGGCGCCAAACTGCCAGGAGGTGCGCACTGCGTTTTACGCTCTGCACCCCGGATCCAAGTGGGTCCCCGAAAGCCCGGTATCAGGTAACCATCACAGCTTCCAGAGTTTATGTTCGAAGTTTTAAAACTGCACTTTAATTATGTTTATTTCTCACGCTGCCCATCTTTACGCTCAAAGCTTCTCTGATAAAAAAAACAAAAACAATCGCCCACGCTGAGCGTCTGGTTAATGATGGTCCCTCCTGCAACAAGCTTCCAAAGAATCAATTTGTTCTCATATTGAGCCAAACACTAAAACAACTTACCAGCAATGCTGAGTCTTTGATACTCTGCAAAGTTTATATTTAAGCCAAAAAAACAAACAATCAAAAAATCTTTACTTTGTCTTAGAAAAAAAGTTCTTCTTGAACTTTTCTAGATTTAGTTTAATTTCTCTATTGGGAGATTGTGTGACTCTCCAGCAGCGATTATTCCCACTGATCCCTGCAGCTCTTTATTGGAGGGAAAATGCTTTATGGTTTTAAGCAGTGCAGCTTTTACTTTAAACAACACATTTCAGGACCACATTTTAATGCAGTTAATTATCAGTTTTTAACCCTTTATAGGGCAAGTTTGCATATTTGATCACTTGCATAGATCTTACAAATGGACTCTCCCCTTGTGCCTCAGCGTGGTCTAGAAGCACAAGATCTATATCCAGCCATTTAGCAAAGATGCTGCTACATGGCTGTACATCTTATTATGGCATTTGACCAATTAGATGAGCAACTGAAGGATGTATTACCTAATGTAAATTAATCTGAATAAAAAAAATATAAAAAGTCAAGAAAAAAAGGTAAAAAGCTAATTGAAAAGTTAAAAAGTAAAGTTAGAAAGTTGAAAAGCCTAGGTAACAATTATATTTAGGTTTATAAACCAGCATTAATGCCTCTAAGGTTATGTATTACCAAAAAAAAAACGTTTTTTTTTTTTACTCTCTGAGTGTTCTTCATGAATTTCTTATAGAAGCACTTTTGTTATTTTTCTTAATATATTCAGGAAAGTTGGCGTTTCTTGTTATTACATTAACATTCATTTTTGCCATCAAAATATCCATATTTTCTTAATGTTACAAAGGTAAGGTAAGGTAAGGTCTTGTTCTGTCCTCCAATAACTATTGGCTTGAAATTTTGATTTTCAAAGTATTTCGCTGAGTGCCCTATAAAGGTTAAGATCAGACTTTGACTGGACTAAAAAAAAAGCCACGTTCTAGTATAGGAGGAGTTTTCCCACAGCATGATACTGCATGCATCTGTTATATTTATGATTATATACCCCAATCGTTTTCTCCCAACACAACGATCTGCATCTAAGCCAGAAAGGTATGTTTTAGTTAAAGTACATTTTTCCTATTGCTATGATGTTTAAAGGGGGTTTCATGTGGTCTTCTTCCATCAATAGCCCCGATAAACGAACATTTAAGGAGACAGCTCATCTTCCCCTCTGAGCTGTGGATCTCTGCAGCTCCTCCAGAGTTAGCATGGCAATGGCTGCTGTTGGCCCTCCTTTGACAACCATGTCTGTCTGTTAGAGTATACTCTTCCCATTTAAGATGTACAGTCCCTCCTCACAACTTTCTCTCTTGACATGATGCACTCCGTGCACTAAGCTTGTCTCACATGGCTTTGAGGTTTGTTTGAGAGCCTGCATCATAAAGGACGTTTAAATCTGTGGTCAGATAATAAAATGAGCATCATTTCATTCTTTTGATACTAAATGCATCGTGTGTGCACGTGGTAAAGGGGAACTATAACGATCCCCTGTTCTGTTGTGGGGAAAACCGCGTGTCATGATTCATTTGAATCACGAAGCCTCTCTGCGACTAAATAACAGCCAGATGCAAATGCTAATTGGGTGTTTCAGTGTCATGCCAGCATGGGGAGCTGCTCTGCGTTAAAAGATTTCTCTCCAGACTCAGCAGGGGATCCTCGCACCGCGCACTCCTACACCACTGTAAGAGGTTTACAAAATAAAACCAAATTCTCCATCTACATGAGAGAGCAAGGCAAATTAAGATATACTATATGAATTAGACAGCAGGGAGGAAAGCCAGATGCACTTTGAGACCTGTTTAGTCATGCTCCCTGCGGTGCAGGTGCACACAGCTCCACTGGCTGAACCCTCTGCTCCTCCGCACATCCATCTTTAATCACACACCTTCCACCCAGGCCATCCAGCGTTTTATCTGGCAGCCAGAGGGCGAAACATCGCAGCGGGCTGAGAGAAAAATTTAGCCTCCCCAAAGCCAAGGCAGAGTAGGTCAGGCTACTTTCAGTCTGAGAGTTGGTGTTGGATCCTCCTCATGTGAAATCAGTTCACAAGCCTGCAGCAGGGTTCCTCTCTCTCAGCTAGAAGGGTTACAGTCCGGTTAATTAGGAAGAATTTTGCATTTAACATCCTAAAAACAAGTGATCCAGTTTGTTTTTCTCCCTCTTTTGCATAGAAACAAACTTCATGAATAAATCAACCTGTTTGGAACAGCGGAGGTGTGTTATTGCTGCAATGCCAGGACGTCAGTGTCAACACAAAATTAGAGGAAATAACTCTTACTCAAACATTAATGCACCTGAGTAGACATAATTGTCTACTTATTATCTTAAAAATGCCAAAGAGAAGCTTTCATTCAGTTATTGTTAGACAGACAGGCTGTGTTTTCAACCTTTTCACTTTATTTTTTTTTGTAATTGTTTTTCTGCTGCTGTAAAGTGCTTGTTGTGTTGTTTTATAGATGGTATGGACAGATTAACGTTCTCAATTTAGCTGATTCTAGTTCTTCAGCCACATTTGGGAGATTTTCATTCAGGAAATAAGTTTCTTTTCACATTTCACATTTACCTGTTTTTATCAAAAGACATACTTTGGCACCAGGAGATGGTTAAAAAAGAGTTTAGGTCAGTTTCCAAGTCTATAGTATAAAGGAGAGCTCATACAGATTGTCTCAAAAACCTCAGCCTGTAGTGATGCCTATAAGGATGACAGAGGTAACAACTAAAGGACAGTACAAAATATACCACAGAAGCGGAGCATGAAGTTGCAGCAGTCCAGCCAATACTCCCCTCCAATTGGTAGCAATTTCTTAAATATAGCAGAAGCAAGGAAAGTGTTCTTTATGTCCTCCAGTGGCCCAAGCCTGTAGCAGCATAATATAACATGTGGCTATTTTGCATAGCCACCTGAAGAGACAAGTACCAACGTAACAAAGGAATTTGCTTATGTTTACAAGTCCGAAATCAACCACAAGATAGAAAACTTATCGATATCTGGAAAATGTAGAGGGCCAATATCGATTTCTGATAGCTAACAAATTTATATATACTTTATTTCATTACGCTTTTAAAACCTCAAGAAAAACATTGTCACATGACCAACTGCTCCTGTTAACCACCAAAATGCATAGAGAAGCAAAAACAATATGGAAATAAACAGTTATTAAAAATCCTTTTTTTTTTTTTTATACGATAGGTAGAGGGCATATGCAGCAATTTCAAAAATTCCTGCTGAGAGAAAAATGAGACTGGTAAACAAAAAAATGACACTAAAACAAACACACAAAAACATGTATAGGGAAAATACCAAAAAAAAACTTCAAATTAACAGTATAGTGGAGGATGTTCTTTTTCCGGTTAGATCATCAAAATAAGTGGTCCTTCTAATTGTCAGTCATTCTGGTGATATGCTTATGTAAGGCTGTCCTATGTGCTTGTTCTCATTTTCACTTACCAGTGGTGAGTCTCACATGGTGGAAAAATTACAAATCTTGTACGAGCGATGGAAACAACAACTTTTAAACAGAGAGTGCATGAGGAGAAATGGGCTCCTGCACGCTCTCGCACGCATTTAATAGGTGTTCCCCCTCGGGAGCGGGTACAGAGTTGTGCATATGCATTTTTTTTTTTAAACTGAAGAGGGCGGGTATTTTCAAAAATTTGCTAGCGCTCCCTAACTGCAGTGCTCCAAACCACTAAGCTATGGGGACGAATTTTAAATGTTTACTTTAAGATTCATCAGTACAGTCTTACTACTCACTTCAAATATCAACACTGGGTCAAGCCCCTCTCACCATATTTTGACGCTCAGGTTGCATGACAGTTTGTGCCTGAACTGCAAAGTAAAACAGTAGCACCAGGCCATCCCTCACCCCTAAACATAAAGAAACACTAGTAAACATGTGACCATACACACTAAAGCTACCAACAATCACTTTGTAAAATGTTTTTCAAAAGTTTCACGTTGTACAAATGTCTGTAACCTAGTATTGACCCTGGGCGTCAGTATATGACGAGGGGGGTTCACGTTTGACCAAGCATCAGGATTTAGAGATAGTTGTGTAAAAAAAAAAAAGCGGCTGTGTTGTCAAGCCCCCGTTTGTCAAATTTGTGACTTTTTCGTAAAATCATCCCAACGTTTTTGTAGAGATCACTAAATTGTGTCTGGTGTGTCTTGGCCTAAAGTACGGTGTGGGACCTGTTGTTCTGCTAGCATGTCTCTTTCCTAGAGGCCATTGGGACCTTGTGAGTGTTAATTACATTGATATAAATTTACATGGGTTAAAGTTTGTATTTTTCTTATTTAGTTTAAGTGAAATATGCATTTGTATTAAAATACATTTTAAAAACCTCATCTTTAACATTATTTGCATACGCTGTGGAGCAAACTACAGTGCACATCTATATATTGTCTACTCTTTGTAAGGCTTCTTTGGGTTTTCCTGATGTGAACTTTTACATAATTCTCAGCTTTGACCATGTTTTCCATAATAAAGTGATTTCTCTATATAAGAAAGATTTTTATGTCCTTAAACAATTCAAGTCGTTTATCATCTATGATTCATCCTTGTGATTAATCAGTATGTAATATCCAGGAGCTGGACACAAACTTCATTGTTTTGTTGGTTTTCATCTCTGTGCCTGGTGGGAAGTTTGCCCGATAAATGTGTATCATGGACACAGGTTACAGAAGGTAGGTTAACGATATGACAGGGAGGATTGTTGAGGATGATCTGAATAAGGATGTGAAATATGACCTGCATCAGTATGGAGGAGCTG